ATATTGATGCTTGCATTGGCGTTATCTGCAATTGCCAAGTGCTTATCTGGCACTTTATAAGCAGCTAGTGCTCAGGTAGAAGTGCATGCACGAACTTCAGGCATAATATGCTACAAGACGGGCCGTAGAGGATCGGTAACCTTCTCAAAGTGCCGATAACTTATGCTATTTGCGTGTATCCTAAACAGACATTACGATAAATATGCTTAAGTGGCTCATTATTGGGCGGAGGTTCATGAGGAGTTACTATGGCGACGCCCAGCCTGTAGTAGTGGCTTGGACGGCCCACTGGTCATGGTATTTTGGGACCTCTCGGCTAGGCTGGAGAGGTGTTGCGCCTCCCCCTCTACGTGAGGAAATAATCGGAGGCAGTATAATATGTTATCTGTGAGTCGTAGGATATATGTATCCTGTTGAGTTTCGTTCCTGAGGCATGATGCGTGGCTGTTTTTACTGTGTATGCTGCTCAATGCTTTTCGAAGACCCCAGCCAAGCGACCTAGTGGGAGGGAGCAGTGCCGACGTGAAATGGGAAGAATATTCAAAGTTCTGTAGTGTTTGCGTTACAGTATGGCCACATTAAGAGGTAATTCAGCTTTGTCTTGCATGGAGATGTCAAGAGGCGGTGGCGCTGGCGAAGGCCTAACAGTTGCAAGCAACGAAGACAGAGTCTCGGGGTTGCCTTGCCTGGCAAAGATGCCACGGGAGTGTGAGCTTATTAGTAGAAAACAATCACTTTTCCTTGGCTGAAACATCTAAGCATTGAATAACGTCAGTTATGGGTTGTGTCGAAAAAACTGCTACATATCGTTAGCCGGTCCCGATTCACCTGGTCTCGCGCCCATTATCGGGCCTCCCTGGAGCAAGGAGGCACCGGTACTGTCACGGCATTGGACACCCTAACAAACAGTCATTCTTCATTTTCTTATTTTTAGCTTCCTTTTGCACTGCAGCAACACCTTTTTACGCGACTCCGTAACCCTACCCTCCAGAGGAATTCGATGTCGTCGTTTGTTACTTCGGAGTCCTGCCCAACGAAGCATGCGTTTAACAACGCATGCATATCACTTTTGAACAAGTGCTTCAGTCTGCATCGCGTGCACATCCGCAGAAACTGGCCGTAACTCCAGTCTGCCTGTCTCCAAGTCATAACAGGCTTGTACTTAGTCAGATGGACGCGCATTCACACTCACTCTTGGGGGCTGTTCTATCTTCTTTCGGGCAAATTAATAAGGCAGTAGTTTCAGATTTGGAAAGCAAAACAACACACGGCTGTGGCGACCGCGCAACTTGTGTGCAACGCTCCTTGGAGAAAAAACCGTGTTCGTCTTTTTCGGTAAGTCTATTAGGCGTAACATTGATCTCCTTGGGTGTTGTGTACTTCCTGTTGCGTTGCTTTAACTTAACAAGAAAAAGGTTTTGGGTTACCTCCTTGACCAGATCGCTTGCAGGCGGAGGCGGCAACCCATGTCTTGGAGATGAGGAAATTGGGGAAGATAGGGAGGTAAAGCGTGGGGGAGAAGGTGCTTGGGTTGAGGGACTCGAAGGAACTTCTAAAGAGCGCCAGGCAGGAGATGGCTATTTTAATCATTTGTTGTGGCAGACAGGAGATCTTCGGCGAGTGCCATCATTGCCACCGACACCAGTTTTTTGGGGCGCCCGAGGAATTCATGGATTTACTTCGAGAATAGGGCAAGGCGCTGCAGCTACAGCTCTGGAATTCTATGCTGCCCAGCCCCAAGATGCTGATCGTCAAGAGCTTCCTCAAGAACTTCCTTGTGCTAAAGAGGAGGCCGGGTCTGCATCGAGAAAATTAATGAGACTGCACGTTGGCGGAGCCACTGAGGGAAGGAATTATGACAGTGCATCTGGCGGGGGTCCTGGTGCTAGGCTGCGTGAAGGAGAGACGCTGCAAATGTGGGAACGGCGAAAGATACCTCCCTATGCTGAGGAACAGGTTATCAACTTGTTTCAGCGCATGATCGGCGCTGCATCGCTGTGCCGAACCTTGATTCGGAAGTTAACCCAACGTCAACGCCTGCACATGGCACGGGAGGTGGTGAGGCTGCTGGCACTAGAACTGGGGGCTTTTTCTCTTGTGCGAGGGCATCTCGAACCGTTACGGTCAAAATTAGCTAACACTCTTTTGCAACTAAGTAACGAAGCTCTGCAGCGCAGCGGCCAGGACATGGAGCTGGAAGAAAGTCGAAGCAATATTCGCAACCTGGTAGCTTTATTATCCCAATTGTCACGGCCTCGCCCCGTTTCGGAAGGGGACTTTCCGTCTCTCTACAGGGTTAAAATGCTGTCTCTTTTACGAACTGCCACTGAAGTAGTAGAATTCTGCGAGAGGGTACTGGAGGGACTCGCTGAATTCCTGGTCGTCAACAAAAGCAAGCCATCATCGGATCGGATTGCACAGCAAATTCGTGTAGTGAGACAACTGTATGAAGTGCATTCCTCGTATATAGCTCGAGACTCTTTGCTGCGTCGATTCATCTTACAATGCCAGAAAAGCATATCATTGCAGCCTCTCCTCTGTCATCGTCATGCCGGGATATCCTCACTTGGGCTCCCTTCGATGAGGCAACTAGTGGAGGAGATACACCGCGCTGTTCGCGATGCCGGAGGCATCCCGCAGTCTCCATCACACGCAACAAAAACACATCAGAATGTTGCTCTTAGGTCGTCGACTAGCGATCAACAAACGTCCACTTCACGGGAGCCACTAGATGAAGAACAGAGACAGACGCGCAGACAAGAAGAATCTCACTCTGCACTGCAACCATCTTCGAGTCTGTCAGGCGCGGGGCTACAAGGCCTGCAGGCAGCGGCTTTTGCAGAGCCTCTACAGGATTACCCATTGGTTCTGTCGCCAGTTGGCCACCTTTCTCGCCCAGCTTATTCCATCCTTTCAGAATTTGGAACAAGTGCCGCAGCGCGCTACTGGCAGCCCTTTCCATCAACATTTCCTCATCCACTGCTGAGCCCGTCGGTGCCTTCAACGCATCTACAGCAACTTGACGTCCAAGGCGCACCGCGAAATGCTAGTGCTAATGGAAGGGTACTTAGTGGATTGGTTCAGACCCGTACTTCCGAACATGCGGATCTGGCTGCGAGTCAAGTGCCAGGCATGTCTCCGTTGCACGAATCAACGCCCAGTTTTCCGTCCTACCCACAAACGGCACGACGTGCATTCGCTGGGCCAAATGCTCATGGGGGTTTCCCAGCATATACAAGCTACGGCGGGCACAGCGTTTCTCACTATGTCGCACCACCTTCCCTGCTTCCACCCACTGCCAGGCCTACGGGACAGGCCTCATATTCAGAGCATGGCGGGAACTATGGAACAGTGCCAGGAGATATTCTCCAGCCTGAAGAACCTGACCAGATGGAAGGTCTTCTGGCGGATCTTATCAGAGGCGGTCTCAAACTCGAAGATATTTTCCCCACGGGAGACCGTCCATACCAATAAGCTACGGAGCAATTGCATACTGCATTGGAAGGAATTTCCACACCGTGAACTGCCATTACGGATGCGAGCGGAAATGCAAGATAGGACGAAGACGGCTCGTGCCGTGCTGCTGCAGGTGGTTAGTTTCCACTTTTTACAGTTCCTGTCACTAAGCGTGCCGTGCTACTGCAGGTGGTTAGTTTCCACTTTTTACAGTTCCTGTCACTAAGCACGCCGTTTAGGTCTATCCATCCGTTTTTTGGTGCCCCCGGTTCATCGTGGCCACTGGGATTACTCCCTAATATTTTTCCGGGTTTACCTCTGTGAATGATGTGGACAGGTTACTAGGGGGTGTGCTGGGGCCTGGTTCGCTTTCGGAAATTGAGGCCAGCATGTGAAGCAAAATAACGATACGCTGTGACCACGTAGCGTTTCTTTGACAGCGTACATCTTCGGTGCACCATACCACCAGACCAAATCTTTGGAGAGGGGACTCCAAACGCTGCGTCGTCCCCTGCCTTCCGTGAAGACTTTCTCCTGCCCATGACGAGGTCGGGTGAGCAGGCAATGCAATTATCGTCGCCGTTTTCTGTAGATATTTCCAGAAGGTGCATGCAGACTCCCAGCAAAGACGGGACGTTGCGGGGTCAAGTACAACTGCTACTCAGGGCGTCTTTTATATATCCCAGATTAGCTCATTGAATTGCAGAAAGATGCGAATGGAACGGGTAGTTAGAATAACTAGGAATGGCACTTAACAGTAAAGCACAGTTGCTGTTCAAACAGGCAGTCATTTTGGTCGTTTTGTGCAAGGAGGAAACGTCGACAGGCAGATCCATTTGGTGCCTTTAAAGGCGTATTTTTGTCGACTGCTAGTTAGGGCCGGCACAAAGAAACACGAGTAAAGCCGGTGAGCACGTGCGGCGCTACCAAGTGCAACGAGTCCTCCACCTTTCCCGTAGGACTGTCGTGACATGCAGTCGAGAGAGCACGCGTATAACGAACGTCCGCCCAAAGCAGCCAGACTATTCGTCAGTCTCCAGGAATCCTGGGCATAGCGCTGCAAACTG